CAAGACACATTAGTAGAAACACACCTGCTGAAAGATGATTCCCCGTTTAGCTACATTTTGAGATCTGCCACTTTGCCTGTTTTAGATCCATTTCGTCTGTTTTTGCATCAGGATGGCCTGTGGTACCCAGTGATGTGCCTTACAAATGGTAACATTTATCAGCAGCATGCAAGCTGTAATGTAACCCTGTGACACAGGGGAGCAAGTTACATCTTATCCCCATGTAGCCTCTGACACTGACTGTGCCCTAATCTCGGTGTGGGCGGATACAAGACCCAATGCTGATGGACTACTTTGAGCCCTAAGACCAGGCTGTGACTGACCAGCCTCTCCCCTCCCCAGCAGACATGGGGTCTGGCACCAATGTCTTTGCTCATTGCTAGAGCCAGGCTCTCGTGTGCTTCCTGCCCCTTTCCCATCACTGTCCATGGAGACTGACCCCTGCAGCCAGGGGCACATGAGAAGTCAGACACAGGACTGGAGCAAGTGGCAAGTTCTCAGAACATTCAGTAGTGTTTGGGTTTTCTGTGCTCACAGAACGAGCCTCTCGGACACTTTGTGCCCCCACTCCTACATGGTGATGGATGCTTGTAATTCCCTATGGACATGCACTCTGAGCCTTCTTCCTGGGGACGGGCCAGGAATAAAATACAAGTCAGTGAGTTGCTGTTGGAGAGACAAGCTGTACAAGGTCTGCCAAAGGGAAAGGAAGAGCCAGGCACCCCTTAGCCTGCTCCCAGTCAGAGGTGTCTGGGACTCTCCCAGGATGGGGTCAGACACCATAGCTGCGTCTAGACTGGCAAGTTTTTCCGCAAAAGTGGCTACTTTTGTGGAAAAACTTGCCAGGTGTCTACACTGGCCACTTGAATTTGTGCAAGAACACTGATGATCTAATGTATGATCGTCAGTGTTCTTGTGCAAATACAATGCTGCTCCCATTCGGGAAAAAGCCCTCTTGCGCAAATGCTTTTGCGTAAGAGGGCCAGTGTAGACAACTGAGAACCGTTTTGCGCAAAAAAGCCCTGATGGCGAAAATGGCAATCGGGGCTTTCTTGCGCAAAATCGTGTCTAGATTGGCACAGATGCTTTTCCACAAAAAGTGCTTTAGCGCAAAAGCGTCCGTGCCAATTTAGATGCTCTTTTCTGCAAATGCGTTTAACGGAAAAACTTTTCCGTTAAAAGCATTTGCGGAAAATCCTGCCAGTCTAGACGTAGCCCATGTGTGGGATATAACCCCATGTCTAGTGATTGTCTTCGTTTCCTCAGCTGGAACTGTGGGCTCTCTGACATAGGGCTTTCTCCTAGCTCCAGCAACCAGGGGCAGACAGATTTCACTTACCCTTTTAGGAGATGTCTTTTGTGACTCTTCATCAGCTGAGGGGACAGTGGGTACAGAGCACCTCAGTCTCTTCTCCATTGCATTGGCTGCACAGTCACTCTGCACTGAGTGAAGACTTTGCTTTGTGCCTCCTGGTTTCTACCACTAGTTTGTGGTCACAGGGTGGACCAGGAGAACTTGAGGCTCATCCCGTATGTCAGCCCTTCATCTCCCCTTCTGGTGAAGGGATTCACACTGACACCAGGGAGCAGGCATGCCCACTATTGCCACAGACTTCGCCCCAGTCTCCTTTGTGCAAGTCGAATGTGACTTCCCTGAGGAACCTGGGCTAGTTTGGGCTGAGGATGGGGTCACATTGGCTTGCAACAGTTACCTCCCTGCCGCTGATCCTGAAGCTGGACCATGTTTCCTTCATGCTGCTAAGCACCAGGGGGCAGCAGTGCCTGTTATGCCCCCCTGCACCCACATACTTCTGCACTAGCTAGTGTCAGCAGCTCCTGCGGGAAGGTTGCTTGGTCCCCCTGTTAGATTTGCAGTGTTCCCACTGTGCAGGGGTAGCTCTAGGAGACAACTCTCCAGTACCCAGTGCAGACATATCCTGGCCCTTTGCTGGGCAGGGGGGACTCAGGGCTCTGTCTTTGGGAGGTGTTGACTGATTGCTAAGACAATAAAATGTCCTTTAACCAAACTGGGTTCCTCTACGTTGCTGTCTGGGCAGGTGGGGCTCTCCCTGAGGAAGAATTGTTGGCTGGATCCACTCCTGGGAGCTCCTCCCCTCCTTAGTGGTCTCACCTGTGGTAGGTGCGGCCCTCATTATAAAGCCATCTCTAGCAGTGGGGCAGGGGGTTGCTGTCACGCTCTCAGGAATGAGTGCAGAAGCTGGGAAGAGGCGAGGCAGAGCCCCAACCCCAGCCTCTGGGGACAAGAAGTCCAAGCGGAAGGTGAAGCGGAAGGAGACCTATTCAGTCTGGATCTACAAAGTGCTTGACGTGTGTCTGCTTCTGGGCACAGTGTGTGACTCCAGCCTTCTGGGGTCTCTGGGTGTTGCTAACTGTGGGGAGGTGCTGGCGAGGGGCATGGGCTCTGCAAGACCCTGGGCTGGCCCTAGTCCTGGCCTGGGACCTAGGACCGGGCTGTTGCTGGCAGCTCCTTCCCATGGCTTTCCCTCTGCGCCTCCTGTGTGCAATGGGTGTGTCTGCTTCTGGGCACAGTGTGTGACTCCAGCCTTCTGGGGTCTCTGGGTGTTGCTAACTGTGGGGAGGTGCTGGCGAGGGGCATGGGCTCTGCAAGACCCTGGGCTGGCCCTAGTCCTGGCCTGGGACCTAGGACCGGGCTGTTGCTGGCAGCTCCTTCCCATGGCTTTCCCTCTGCGCCTCCTGTGTGCAATGGGGCCAGGCCAGGAAGCTTCTTGTGAGGCTCAGCCTTAGCCTCCTTCCCCCATGCCCCGCTATCCCGCTTCGGCCTATGCCTCTGGTATCCACGCAAACTCCACTCCCTTCTGGGCTCCTTCCCCTCTTGCCAGCAGCACCCGGTCCTGGGGCAGCCCACGAGCTCCTCCAGCCAGCCAGTGGCTCTGAAATCCGTGGGCCACACGTGACTGCAGGGTCCCTAGGTTAGTGTCTCTGAGACCAGGGCTGCCCCCAGCCCAGCCTGTGAGGTGCCTGTACTGCCAGAGCAGGAAGCACCAGTGCTGGGGTGGGGGGCCCAGTGCTGAGGCGTGTGGGGACAAGGGTCTAGTTAAGGACGGTAGGGGCTCACCCCCTTAGCTCCAGGATGCTGCCTGCTGTTCCCCGTCACCCGTCTGGGCAGCAAGAGGGAAGCTCAGTGTTGGTCGGTCACTCCTGCCCCCTTTCACAGGGGGTCCCTTATCCTGCCTTCCTACTGGGGATCCAGCTCCATCCCGGGGCAGCTGGTGTTGGGGCCTGGCTGCTGTCTGGATGGGCAGAAGGGGGGTAGGACTGAGCCCCCCACCCTGTGCTCCAGAGCCTGATGCCCTATTCCTGAGTTCACTGGAGACCCCGTGCCACCTCCCTACCTTCAGTAGGTCCCTTATCCTGCCTTCCTAATGCAGGAGCCGGGCCTATCCCTGGGGCAGCCTGGCTGTGTGCGCCCGCTCCCTGAGGGCAGGGGAACAGCAGGCAGCCTCTCCATGGGAATCTCGGGTGGGGGGGCTTCAGCCCCCTTTCCTCCGTAAATGGTGCCCTGGGGATGGGCTTGGGGCTGGGGCAGTCCTAGTCCAGTGGGGGAGCGCACCCCCTGCTGACCCCTTTAACCTGCCTGCTCCTTAGCCGAAAGCCATCCCAGGAGCCCAGCTGGGAGCGTGCTGCGCCTCCTGCATAGGTGTGCCCCGGCTGGCCGGCTCTTGCTGGAGCAGGGGGCCGGGCACACGGGCTAGCTTGCACCTCTGTTCTACGTAGGTGCTGGGGGAGGGAGTTGGCCTCTATTGACCTGCTGGGTTCCCATGGCTGAGTCCTGCTTGACAGCTCTGCTCTCTGGCCGCAGCCTGGGGGAAGTAGGGAGCAGCTCCCCCGTATCTAGAGGGTGCTGATGCCTGCGCTGGCTTTCCACCCTGCTCAGGGGCTGCACATGTGTGCAGAGTAGCTATGGAAACACTAGGGGCCACCTGCCTGCAGCCTCTGTTCCCAGGAGGGGTGCGCTCCGGGCCAGATGCTGCCTGCAGGCCCTAAATGAGCCTCTGGATATGGCTGCAATGCCGACTGGATGACAGGCCGAGGCTGCCTATGGCCAATCCAGCTGGAACGTGGGCTTAGGTTCAGAGGCCCTAATTTCTGCTCCCTCGTGGGCCCAGAAACGTCCCTTCTGCCTGCGGTGGCATGCTGTCCCGCCCCTTCCTGCAGCCCCCCGGCACAGGGCAAGGGACAGAAGCTGGCCCCAGGGCGGGATGGGGGGGGGGCAGGAGCGTGACCATTACCCCTCCTCCCACACTTCTCTTGCCTGCCAGGTTCACCCTGACACTGGCATCTCCTCGAAAGCCATGAGCATCATGAACTCCTTTGTGAACGACGTCTTTGAGCGCATCGCCACGGAGGCCTCGCGCCTGGCGCAGTACAACAAGCGCTCCACCATCACCAGCCCGGCGGGATGGGGGGGGGGCAGGAGCGTGACCATTACCCCTCCTCCCACACTTCTCTTGCCTGCCAGGTTCACCCTGACACTGGCATCTCCTCGAAAGCCATGAGCATCATGAACTCCTTTGTGAACGACGTCTTTGAGCGCATCGCCACGGAGGCCTCGCGCCTGGCGCAGTACAACAAGCGCTCCACCATCACCAGCCCTGAG